AAAAAGCAATCAGAATAATCAATAGGTCCAAATATAGAGAAACCACAAATCCGCTATTCATCAAATTAAACACAATGAAATTCTATGACCTGGTTAACTTTAAAATCGCCCAATTAATGTATAAAGCACATCACAATCTCCTTTGCCAAAATATCCAGAAGCATTTTGAAATTAGAGATAGCTGTTATAATCTAAGAGGTATCAATCAATATAAAAAATCCAGAACAAGAACAGATATCAAGCAAAGGTGTGTATCAGTAATAGGAGTCAATCTGTGGAATAAGCTTGAAACGGATCTGAAAATGAGTAAATCGCTGGACGAGTTCAAAAACAAATTTAAAAGATTAGTACAAACAAACTACAAAAATCAAAGTTAAGAAGATAAATTTGATATACTTATAAAATATAGTCATATAACGGTCTGTTCTTGTTTTGGATTTTGATCAACTCATTAAATCTATTCAAGAAATGCAGTTTCTCCTTTGAGCATATAACGGTGATGATGTTTGTTTTATTTACTTTTTATTTTTATTTTTCCTTTTGTAACTTTTGCTTGCCTTTTGTCAATTGTTATTGTATTGTATGTTCAATAAACAATTAACTATCTAAAATTAACTAAGAGTCTCGGTCGGGTATAAACTAAAAAGCAATGTACTTCTTGTCCCTAAAAACACCAAGTGTGTGTAGAAAGCACAAATTCCCCCAGAAGAGAATGCATTTATTTCCGGCCACAGGACGTACAGTGTCAGACGCTTTTGTTTTCAAGGTACTCAAAAAATGTGGTCACACCCGGCCTGAAGAGCTCTGACGTTGCCAATACAGTATCTTGAGTTTGCACTCACTAGTAATAGGATTCCTCTGATGCATATGAACAGCATGTCGAAAACAAACCCTTGCCTGACCGTCACGTTAAATTTGTAAGACGCATTGGTGTGTAGCTTTTTTCATTGTCTTATTTTGGGGGTGGCGAGGTTAAAGGTTAAGCGTGAACTGAACTTGGCCAACCATCTTTTGAGTAATACTTAGGTATTCAGGTTTCATGAGTTTTTTTTAATGTAACCCACCCAGGATCAGAGTTACACCCATAGTAGTGCGCTTAACAACGAAAATGCTTTTGTTCAGCAATCGCCGGCAGGTGGCGTCATTTGCAGAAAGCCGAGTCGCCGGTCAGCCATTGTAATGCATTGTTGACTGTCCCGTTCACTGCCATTGTTATCGAGTTATTCAGTGAAATGCCTCGGCGCTGTGTGGCGATGCACTGTTCACATTCAGGCAAACATTTGTTTGAGTGGCCAAGAGAAAAGAATAGGGCACCTAAATGGACATGGACCGGCACAGCATCGAAATGCAAACAATAACGCGAGGCGAATAACCGCAGCCTATAAAGTTTACTGTCCTTCCAATCCCGATGGGTCTCGTCTCCACTCCATGTCATTCGGGCACGAAATTTTCTGCAGCCGGAGCATATGCCTCGTACATGAATCGTCCAACATACACCTTGCCAACAACCTCCTCTTCTTCCAATTCTTATAACACACGGATCTCCTCAGATAAGTTTGAAACGTCACTTTCCAAATCAATTTCTGACTGGCTTTGTACACTTTCCGTAGTGAGCCCTATACTCTCAGTCAGTGTTTTTCAACCCGTGTGCTGCGGCACACCTTGTACACATTGTCAGGTGTGCCGCGGGAAAAGATCCAATTTGTATGCCTGAGCGGTCTTTCGCCCAGAAAGTAATCATGTGGTACCCTCCCATACCGCTAGGGAGCAGCAACAGCTAGCCAATTGCCTTGTGTTTCGACGAGAGACAAGCGAATTTGTGACGCATGAATGCAGGACGACGGTGAAACAATAAATATGAAAGATGATAAAATACGTTTTTCTTTGTGTTCATTTGATTCCAATTCAAGCTGTTATAACATCATTCTTCTATGTTAAAAACGGTTATAGTAACAATATAACACGTTAATTGTTAAAATAAGCGGGGGGGTCACATTTTCAGCTAGTGGTGTGCCGCGAGATTTTTTTCAATGAAAGAAGTGTGCCTTGGTTCAAAAAAGTTTGAAAAACACTGCTCTAAGTGATGTCACTCTTCCGCGTTTGTCGCTCATCAGGATGCCACTTTGGGAAAATTATTACTTTGTCAAATTTATGAAATAGAAATTATTTTGTCAAGTTTTGTTCAATGTATTTTGTTTAATTACTTGTGACATGAAAATACAGTCAAACCTCGGTTTTTGAACGTCTCGGTTCTCGACGAATTCGTTTTTCGACCAAAAATTTCAATTTTTTTTTTATGCCTCGGATGATGAACAAATTTCGTTTCTTGAACAAACTGAGCGCACTTGAATGCACCACTTGACTCCTCTCGCCTTCCTTACATGAGGAAATGACGCTTCCTCGGGTAGACGAGGAAGTGACGCTTCCTCGTGTCGCTTTCCATTGTGAGCAGACGTGTTCAATAAACATTTTTTTTTTTTTTTTAAAAGAACGTGGTTTCGGTTTCCGAACAATTTCGGTTTTCGAACAGCCTTCTGGAATGGATTATGGACGAAAACCGAGGTTTGACTGTATTTCATCTGGGATTTTCTAAAATTACTTCACACTTGACCATTTTAAATTACTGTCTTCCATAAGATGGACCGTGCAATGGATGATATCATGCAAGACGTCTGCATACTTCACAAGACATTATTAATTGAGCAATTTTGAAGGATGAACTTCAGAGGTGACAAATCCAGGTAAACGGGCTCTCAGTGAGCTATAGCCAAACTGTGGCAAGGTGATAACTTTCTGGACCTGGATTTGACAAGTTTCTGGACCTGGATTTGACACCTGGTCTTTTTTGCAACACCCAAGCCAGAACACACTGAGCAAGAAAAGAGAATGTGTTTTCTCTCTCACCGGGCTGTGAAAAAAGAATGACAGATTGGGGAGATGAATCAAGCATCATTACTAGGACAAACCTTATTCTACTCCTTGTCACCTCAAATAGATTGGTCATTCAAATAGATAGATAGATAGATTGATTGATTAATGGGCATGCTGGAGCCAATGCGGTAGGGGGGGATCACCCTGAACTGGTCGGCAACCACTTGCAGGGTACATATTGACAAACAACCATTCACATTCACAATCGCACAGGAAAGTCGGGGCCCGGGGCTCAGCATTGTGAGGCGGGTATGGTAACCAGTCAACCACTGTGCTGCCCTGGATAGATAGCTCATAAAAATAAAAAAAATAAATAAAAAGTATGCACAGGCCTGCTGAAGCTTATCAAAGCTAAGGTCCAAATTGTTTTTGTTCCAGTGGTTATTTTCTTTTTAATGATCCAAAATCCAGAGACCAAAGGTTTCCTCTAAAAGTGCAACAGGAGCAATGAAAGGTGTTAAAGCGCTCCAAAAAAAAAAAAAAAAAAGAAAATGTTTAATTTCCCCACTTTGTTAAAGATCATTACAAAAGTCAATATCAGACAAAGGTAACCCAAGTAAACTTGTAATGCAGATTTTAAATTGTGAATTAATTTTAGCTTAAAACACCCTCAACAACTGTTCAAAGCTACCTGGTGCCGTGTAGAAAAAATACTTCCCGTAAAAATAAATAAATAAAAAAATCTGAAATTTAATTGCACTGTAAACGTCAAGTTAATGGTGGAAAAATATATCTGTGTGTGTGTGTGTGTGTGTGTGTGTGTGTGTGCGCGCACACACGCATGTTGTGTGCTTATCTCTGTCCGTGCTTATCTTTAAGATCTGCTTGATCCTCAGAAGGGTTGTGGGGCGTGCTGGAGCCTATCCCAGCTGTCTTCGGGCAGTAGGCGGGGGACACCCTGAACCGGTTGCCAGCCAATTGCAGGGCACACAGAGGCAAACAACCATCCAGCAGTACTCAATCAGCCTGCCATGCATGTTTTTGGAATGAGGGAGGAAGCCGGAGTACCCGGAGAAACCCCACGCAGGCACGGGGAGAACATGCAAACTCCACACAGGAAGGCCGGAGCTGGAATCGAACCTCTGCACTTTGAGCTCGCCGCACTAACGACTCGACCACAGGGCCGCCCTGACTGAGTATTATCCTCACTAAAATCAAGGCATTACAATTGCAGAAATGATTATTCATGCTTAAAACAACAAATCAATCACAAATTTATTCAATGATTTACTGAGCAGTGGCACTGAAAAGAGGCAATAAATCAAAGGCTTATCAAAAACAGACACTAAACGGTGTAATAACACATGACAGTGACACGCCAATGAATCCAAAGGTGCCAAATGGTCCAAAGAGTACACCGAGACTGCAGTCGCATCGGAGACATCTCCGATTTATGCCCCCCCCCCCCCACACACACACACGCACGTGTTATTTCAGCGGCAATAGTTATATTAAATATAAATTGAGTAAGCCTTACACCGTAAGGTGTTCCACCCATCCCGGACCCTTTATACCTTTGAACACCTGCAAACTGTGCTAATGATCATATGCTAATGCAGTCACTATTTCTCGTCGAATGAGACTGTGCTTGTTGAAAGTTGAAACTGCCGATCGAGTGTCGAGTGATGAAATGCTTAACATACCGACATGACTGGCGTAGCTCGTCCCAGTGCCTCTTGACCAACGATTGCTGAAGGAGGTGAAGGAGTTAAGGTGTTATTTTAATCAATAAACTAGAAAGTATTCAAACCTGATGCGTCTTTTGCATGCGGTAAGCCACACCTCGTGTCACAAGTGCGATTCGAATCAACTCAAGAGAGCGTGGAGACGCTTCCCGGGTAAAACTCACACGGAAGTGGAAAGTGCAACACGGTTTTCAGAGCGGGAATTCTCATTCATTCAACTGTACTGTAAATGAGAAAAAAAAATATTGACGAGTGTGCTGAGTCCTTACTGCCACAAGAGGGCCCACGTGTAATGCAGAGAGTTTTTATTTATTTATTTATTTTACATTCGAGAAACTATTTCTTGTACTCTCCACCCATTTTAATCGAAACGGGAAAAAAACACCACAAAACAGATATTACAGAGAACAAGAGGGGAAACTATCAGATTATAAAGCAGTAGAAATAAAATGTACTGTTCACAGTAAAAAATACATTTCTCAAAACAAAGCAAAATATGGTTTCATTGTCATAACGGCCCTCTGAGAGAAGCCGGCACTAAAATGTGCGACAACAGCGAGTTTGACACCCGTGGTCTTTGTGC